GCTACTCATGTGGAGAGAGAGCTAGACATGAAAACTAATAATAATTAATACAATAATATTTAAATTTAAATAGTGATTATATGATATTTATAAAATTAATGGAAGTGTGAAGCTTTTTTTTTTTTTTTTAACAATATTAGAGCTACTCATGTGAAGAGAGTTAAGCATGAAAAAACAACAACATCAACAAAAAGTCTTGAACTTAGATGCATATAAAATCAAATATAGAAAAATCCTCTTTTCTCCCTCTTAATTATGGAATGATGTTGTTATCATACTCTCAATTATTAATTTCACACTTTTTTATTTTAATTGATTATTATACTTTTTAATTTATTAATAAATAAAAAATGTAAAATTTTGAGAAAAATGTAACGTAAAGGTAATATAGATAATTATATTAAAATAATATGACATTAACTATTTAAAATGTGATAATAATCCCACCCCTTTTATATTATATTTTTCAAGTTTTATTAATACTATCTCATGAAATTTGAATTGTGATTATATAATATTTGCAAAGTTAAAGAAAGTGTGAAGTTTTTTTTTTCAACAATATTAGAGTTACTCATGTAGAAAGGGTTGGGCTGAAAAAAATAACAATGTCAGCAAAAAAATGTCCTAAACTTAGATACACGCAAGCTGAGCATAGAAAAATCCTCTTTTCTCCCTTTCATGGGTTGATTTTTTACCATGCCCTCAATTATTAATGTCACATTTTTTTATTTTAATTAATTATTATATCTTTTAATTTATTAAGAAAAAAAAAATATAAAATTTTGAGAAAAATGTAACTTAAGGGTATAATAGATAATTATATTAACATGATGTGACATTAATTATTTAGAGTGTAATAATAACCCTACCCCTTTTATATTATATAGTTTAAGTTTTATTAATACTATCTCATAAAACTGTACTTATTTCCTTTTTAATTTTAAATTCTATCAAGTTAATTATATTAAATTTGATTAGATTTAATGCTCTTCATCTTCTATTTGGTTTTCTTTTCTTTTCTTTTCTTTTCTTTTTTTTTTTTTTGGATCAACTATTTGGTCATGTTGCATTAAAAGTTTATCTTATATCTATTTATCTATTAAGGAAGAAACTAATGAAGGGTCATGTGCTAAATTTTTATATAATCCTTAATTTATGATTCTTTTGAGATATAAGAACACTTTCCTTAAACCAACTAGCCTCACACAGTGGAGATTTTGCAAAGAGAGCACGAGATGGGATCAGGCATCTGTTATAGATGGAGGAGACTGGAGACCCAAGGAGATATCTTGGTTACCCTTCCCATGTAAACAGGTCGAGGATTACCTCTTTCTCATGGTTGAAATCTAGATTTTGGTATCGAATAGCTGAATGGAGAGAACAACCTCTTTCTAGAGCAGGTAGAGTGATATTAATCAAGTCTGTGTTGCAAGCCTTGCCCACTTACGTAATGAGCCTCTTTTTACTTCCAATTACTCTTTGCACTACTTTAGCAAAAATTGTGAATAGATACTGGTGGGGTAAGGATGAGGAAGAGCACAAGATTCATTGGATGGAGTGGCGGTGGATTGTTGTTATTAAGAAGTTGGGCGCGTTGGGCGGGTTATGCTTCCATGCGCTTCATGAATTTAATTTAGCCATGTTGGGCAAGCAAGGCTGGCGGTTACTTGTGAATTCGTCCTCTCTGGCTACTAGAGAGATGAAAGCTAAATACTTCCCTCGATCAACTTTCCTACAAGTTGAATTAAAGCCTCGTGTAGCTTGACATGGAGAAGTATATGGAGTTTCATCCAACTTTTAAGACTCAGCTGTAGAAGATTGATTGGTAATGGTAAAGCCACAAAGATATGGGAGGATCCATGGCTTCTTGGTCATGATCAATATTATGTCCAGAGCCCTTGTCTTGTAGGTTGTGAGCTCGTGTATGTGGCTGAGCTTACTGACGAGGAAACTCACACATGGAAACGAGAATTGGTGCTTGAGATTTTAAATCCTTATGAAGCACAACTTATCTTATCCTTACCGTTGAGTTGGATGAGCCGAGAAGATGGCTGGACGTAGAACTACACAAGGCATGGTGCTTTTTTAGTTTGATCAAGTTATCATTAGGCTATGAATATGCATAACTCTAGTGATATACCATTGTCCTGCCCCAACCCAAAGGTTTAGGCATAACAAATGCCACACATCTATAGGATAACCCCATAAATGTGTAAAGCCATCTACCTGCGGATCAATGCCATCTTCTATAAACACTACTAGAAAAATGACGTATACGGACCGAACATATACAGACCGAATAGTGTCTGTCCGAATAAATAAATATCCGAACCAATATCGGTCCGAACATATTTAGGTGGTCCAAAGTATACTACTAAACATATTCGGACCGATATCGGTCCGTATATTTCTGGCGGGAATCCACAGTATCAAAGCGCCAATAATATTCACATCGAAAACGGTCCGAATATTATTT